GTGTTTGTTATTCCTCCAGTTGTTTTGAGGGAGGCTGATCTCGTTATTTTTAGACACTCATGTTTTGCTCAAAATCATTTTATTTATTGATAAATACTTTGCAAAAGGAAGATAACTGTATTGAAGCCGCGAAGCTTTTGCTTTAATTATGTTTAAAGTGATGTATATCATTTTTTTTAAACGCGATAAACCCTAACCATGACATATCCCGCACGATTTCACGTGATTTACACCAAGCTTCGAAGGTTTGGACTAGAGGAGTATCCTTTTGGCCGACATAGTCTGATGTCAGAACGTACTTACCATTGCGAAAATATATGATACAAATTCTATGCAGAATTTTATTTTCTTTCATTTTTTCATTATAAAATAAGGTATTTGCAATTAACACAGGTCTCCGCATCGTAGCAATGAGCAACACACAGGGCAGAATACGCCGAAGTCACAGAAATAGACGATATGTTGGAATGATTGTGGTTTTGACAATGTGGACTTACTGTCTTACTTCTGTGGACCTCACCCAAAGTCTAGGAGTTTTGCTGCCTACATTAGGCCTACACATCCAGTTTGAAGAGAAAGGATTATTGGTTGGATTATCTCGTTGGTCGGTACTTGGGCTGGATTAGTAGGTACACACTGAATTTGAATCATGCGTATAAAAAGTAACATAGGCCTACCTGATTTCAAATGAGGATATACATGTATTTTTTTGTACCTGTCAATTCGTGTGCATGTACATTCTGAACCAAGGACGTTGCGGGAATGGGTAGGGAGAACAAATGCACCATTTGCCATTTGGAGCCTTCAGGACGTCCGAAGGTCGAGTCCTAGGGGGGGCATTTTTTTGATTCTTTCCTTTCTCAGTCTGTCCCCGTTGGAAAAGTTCAATATTTAAATGTAAATTGCTTCACATGTCTGTGGCCTTGGATTTTTGTTTATTCAAGGGACAAAGTATCCACTTCAACACGTTATCGACACCCATATTACATGATGCGATAATATATGATCGCCAAGCTTTGAACATGGCACTTCTTTTAAAAGCCTCGATAATTAACGGAGGCAGGTAGTCGGATCGGGTGGTTCATCTTTCAATTTAGCCAAAATCCTCTCAGTTCCGTTAACACGTATTCACGTTTGCACAGCTATTTCGGTTAATTTGTTCTAGGCTTCTTTTTCCCTATTATGATATTCAAATTTGTTTTCGAGCACAACATTTTTTAGCTTTTCCTTTCAGTTTTGTTTCCGTCATTCCACTTTTTTTATGGGTATTCAATAGTACACTATCGCCATTATTCAGTGTAATAGCTGCTGCTTTTTCCCTGTAGGTGCAGTCAAATTAAATCTCATCGACGCATATTGGGTCTTTCACCTGAGCTAATTTTCTTTTTCGTTTTAAGTGTTTTTATTTCGCGTTCTGAGTATTCAATATAGGAGCACTGGAGAAGTTAATGCCGTTGGTTTTTTTTATTGTAAATCATTCTGTATGATATTCGTTTAATCATTGCTTGATGATTATGAAAGATTACTCTGTTTCCTTTATTTTGTGTGTGTATCCACGCCTACTTCTTCAGTCAAATCAGAAAATATGTGTTTTGCTCTTTGGTGTGAGTACTGATGTTGTGAATTTTTTGTTTCAAATATTTCAAAATACATGCAAATGTACATATATGTACATGTGAATTATGCAAAGAAAAAATAAGAAAAAAATGTTTGTTGTCCTTTCTCTGCGTTATTGCCTTGGAAAGCATTTATCAGCTTGTCCATACCAGCGGTACTCATTTTCTTGTAAGAACCCTGCCGCCACAATTTTTGTTCGAACTCACGTTGACAAAAAGCTGTCTCAAGATCCGCCGTTAAGCCTTTTTCTGGGAAATGTAGATTTAGAATCCAGAAAGCGCTTATCACTGAAACGAATTTGATTTCCCACAAGTGAAACGAAATTGAGTATTGACTGACTGGAATGCCTGGTCAACCTCTTCAAAAGCCCTTTGACGAAAGTGACGACTGAAACAACTTTTGGAATTTAAATGAACGTATAGAGAATGCTCATTAACGAAATCGGGTACAGGCTTTAATTTTCGAATGCTCGGGTAAAGGATCATTCTTTTTTTACGAGTTTAAATGGGCCATGTTTTAAATTGATCGACTTTTGGCTGAAATTGGCCAAGAAAACCCATCATGATATTTTGAAAAAAGGAGAAAATATTATTGTATTACTAATTCTTGGAGAACTGAGGCCTGGGTCAAACGTCGTGCTTCTACCTTCTTGAATGCATATCATTTAAGCGCGTTAAACGCGCAACAGAGTCAGCAATGGTGTCAAACATCGAATTTAATTGTCAAATGATAGTCGTATTTAATTGAAGATAACATAGTGAAAAGAAAGAGACTGATGCCTGCATGATTTAATGGAACACCAATGCCATCTTCGGTAGCAATACACGTACATCATTGGTTTCGTTAATCATAACATTTCGTTTTACGGGTAGTTTCGCCGTTCCTTTTGATGATTCAACCATTTAATTTCGACATTCAATTCGCCAATTTCAAAATTTAACTCGTTATTTTCACGGTTTCATTTTGCACTTTCACCAGTATTTCGCAATTTCATCATTTTATTCGACACGTTCGCTATAACATTCGGTAATTTCACCATTCAATCCTGAAATGCGACCTTTCCTGTCAGCAACTAAGGCAATATCGTAAATCTCTTCGGCTGTGCACCATTCAATTTGGTAGATTCACTATTCGATTCTTTAATTTCATTATCCAATGCGGCGTTTTCGCCACTTCGTTATACTCATTCTAAAAATTCCGTTCTACAAATTCATGGATGCGCTCGATCCATCTTTCCGCCCTGTTGATTCATTCGGCAAAGACTTATTATAATCGTTGACTTTGCACCGTTTGCATGTTTGCATAAATTGAAATTGGAGGCTTGTTCCAAACAATCCTGTAAGCATGCACAAAAAAAATTGGAGGTAACTTTTGGGTGTGTTCAAAGGTCACTTTATTTCATATTTCATGCAAAAGAAAAATCAGACGAGGACTCGCTTTCGATTAGGCTAACACGGCTGCAACCGTCATCATATTTGCATGTTTGTCTGTGTTATCAATTTTCATCCTCAATTATGTAGCTACGCATACGAGTTCCAAATATGTCAAGCCAAAGTGCGAATTTCATTTTATTGGACGTAACGATAGCACGACGTTTGACGCCACGTCGTATAGCTGCCGTGTAGCACGACAATGTCGTACTCAAACGTTTTGCGTCAAACGTCGTGCTTCTGCCGCCATTAATTAAAGATTCTCAAAGTATTTGAGTTCGACACGGCAGAAGCACGACGTTGGATGTGGGCGTGAAACACTCTTTCTTCTGTCCACTCTGTTGAAGTTCCTTTGCAAGAGTATCCTGTCCTCGTGACAGGATGTTTGACGGACTGTCATTTGAAGGCAGGCCATCAACTAGCTGGTGGTGCACAACGATATCTATTGTAAAGTTGCATTTGATAGTCAAACAATTTAGACTTCTTAAGCGCAAGATCCCAAAACATTTCCATGAAATGTTATCTTTTGGGTTAAATGATAACAGCGAGGGCAATGTGTTACATTTTTTCAATCAATAATTGATACACTCTTCACGGTCAATTCAAAGGGTAGTGTTCTAAAATTCGCATTGAAATATTTTTTCAGGAACATCCCAAGGGATATTAAGTATTCTTTCAAAGGAGGCCGTTGGCATCTTCTTTAATGACAACCATGCCATAGCTGATGGTATTGCGCGAACTGGATCATCGATTGCGCTGTTCGTGAGTGCGCCTCTCGTTCAGTTACTCCTGGACAAGTACGGTTGGAGAGGAGCAATGCTGTTACGTGGAGCAATGTTTTCACACATGATGGTCTGTGGCGCTTTGATGCTTGTGTCTGGTGCTTTGGAAAGTTCAAGTACTAACCACCAGTTAATACCGGGAAACCCACCATCCACGTTACACCCCCAAGCTTGCTCTCTTTCTTGTGTGTATCATGGAAGAACTTCATGGTCGATTTGAATCTGAAACTGCTTCGGGGTGTTCATTTCTGGACTGCCCTCTTGTACTGCAATACTAAGTTTACCTTTGACTTGTGGAACATCTGTTTTGTGTCAAGTGCCATTGTCCAAAGGATGCTCTTTGGAGGATGCTGTAAGTTTTGTAGCGGTTGAAGGCGTTGGCAATTTGATAAGTAAAGTTGTTCAGGGTGTCACTCTATAAAACCGATTGACACTACTGTGTTGGACTGTGATGGTTGTGGCTGTTGGTATCAGTATTGCTTAATATTGTGCATCCGCGTGGCTGACGAATTACTGGGCGATTGTGATGGCGTCACTATTGAATATGATTGGCTACGGTTTTGCAGGCTGTGTGAGATACGTCTTCGTCAAGCTGCTGCTTTGAGTGGATTTGTTGGCCAGTGCCTACGGATGGATGGGGGTTATATCTACAGTGTTACGTTTCACTCTGGGATTTGCACCAGGTAATGTTTAAATTTCAGTTACTATTACATTATGATAGGGAGTGTCGTCATCCGTTTTGCGCAGGTGGGAGTATGGTCAGATACCCTGAGCATCTTCTCTCATTGCCCTTCACACTGGTCATCCCAATTACGTATTTCTTTGCCTATATAACCGCTCAGAGCAGCGCTATCTATTTGGGTTAATCGTTTTCAAATTAAATTTCCAGTGAATCATTGTTGGGGTTTAACTTACCTAGCAATTTTATCGTTAGAAGAGAGATTCGGAGAACACTTATTTCTGTGTAGGTTTCTAACCGTTTTTTCTTTATGAAGATGGACAGAGAAATTAACTGGAGCGGGATTTGAACCTGCGACCTCCGGAATACCACTGGAGGTCGCAGTTTTAAATCCCACTCCAGTCAATTTCTTTGTTCATCTTTATAATTATATGTAAGCACCTAGTCAGTTTCTCTATATAGTTTGTTCCACTCTTCTTTTTTTAATTACATTACTATTGTAATGCTGAAGGGTGTATTATAAGTCCAGTATAACGAACTTTGTCGGAGGAATTTGGGGCATCGATGTGACAAATGTTAAAATTCTGTTCATTCCAAACCACAATTCAATGTAAAGTTGCTTTCAAACACCATTAAAGGTAGTGAACAACATTCGTTTTTTGTGGTAATTCAACTAGATTGACTGGTTACGGTGTGTAATATTCACTGTAACTTACATTCCACGGAGTTGTTTCACGCTTGAGTCTATTGCTTTGTGAAAAATCGAGAAAAACAGCGCGTAATTTGTCTTGCGTAAAATCTATGCATTACAGGGAGTTCGTAGAAAGCGAGCAACATCCGCGGGGTCAGGGTAGGAAACAGGCATGACGGGTTCTCATTCCCTTAAAAAGAAGCAGTTTCAACAGCCAGGAGTAATCAGTGAATTTACCTTTGAGTAATGCGCCTGCTCGACAATGTAGCATTGCAGATTCAGGAAAAAACGTCATCCGGGTACGCAGTCGATCACGTCCGTGAACGAGTAGGCCTATATGATAATGCACGTGCGCGCACTATCGTGCTTGATGACTGCACTTTTACGTCAGTTTACACGTCAATGAAAGTCTCAAACTCCATTCTTATAGTTGATTCACTAATAATAATAAGTAAAGAAGAACTTATGTCTTGAAATACGGGAGGTTTAACGTGTGGAAATCGTACTTTTTGTTTACGAAAATCCCTTTCACCACTCCACTCGGAACAGCCACCATAATTATTATTTGGATCATACTACGATGCTCTATAGGGGTGATATTGAATTTGCAAAATCCCTTCCTTAAATAAAATTCAACTTCACACTGATCGGAAAGATAAGCATTATAAAAAGAGTGATACATTTAAACTTTACAAATCTATAGATTATAGTTGCTTAAAACGTATTGCATTAATGCATTTCCTTACACAGTCTTAAAGTGCATGTGGTTTGAAAGCATTTTGACAATAGAATTATTGATACATTTTATTCTTATCAAAACATCGTGGATTTTATATCACTTTACAGCTATTTGTGGCCTTAAAATTTTTGGAGAGATAACCATTACAAATACAATAATACATTAAACTTTACAAATTTGTAGATTATCGTTACTTGAAACTGTTTCCTTTCAGAATCTTAAAGTGCACGTGGTTCCAGTGTAATCCCTATATCCATTACTCCCTACCACATATGTGTGCTTGCTTGTAACATTTTCATGTGAATGTGTGTTTAATTTTTCACTTTAAGCTTGAACAACTGAGAATGACAGATCAAACTCCATATAAAGGTGACATGCCACGTGGAAAATCAGCCACCTCGAGTTGTTTGTCTGATTGTTCGTTTGAGAAATTGATGAAATGTGCCGGTGGTCTCATTACTAACGGTTATTCTCCTTTCCACGTTACTTCCTGGATCGTCAAATGGCATCACCTTCCAACACGTACCCCAAATCATGGCGTAATTTTTCCAGTAGCGCTGCCATATAAAGGCTGTCTTCATGGCGGACAAGGGAACACTCTTTGTCGCCTTTAAAGAGTACAAACGAATAACACACGGGTTACCATTCATATTTCTTGCCTGTAGCCTTTTTGATATTCTCATTGCATTGTGGAAATGGGTATTATGCACGGCGCAGGTTTAATGCAAGAACCAGTCATTTTCTTTTCCGTCCGAAATTATCTTGCTTAAATACATACACCACCAATTCAAATATACATGTCTAAGAGTTATCTTATTAACTAAACAGATAATATAAAACTTCGAAGAAACTCAACCTCGTATGAAATGGGCATCTGATATTAACACTCACAGTCATAATCTAAGACTAAAACTGATGTTCGGAGAAGGGATTTACCCAGTCTTAATTGCAACACTATGTAAAAAGACAGTGGGTTGATTTCAAGTGAGGTATATAAAAACTTTATAATGCTTCACCGGCACACTTCGTCCACTAATTGCTCTTAGTGCGGGAAGCAAATTGATTGTCATTTAGTTCCATTACTTAATTTGAGTGTCGAAAATGTTTGTTGAATTAGTCATTTCAATCCCATTCACAAACATCACAAGTCAAACATAAGTGAAGACTGATTACGGTACATCGATGAAAGAAATAAGGTTTCCTTCAGCTTGCCCCATGCTGGAAACGCTCTCGTTGGTGGCGTTTTCACACATTATTATCAGTTGGAAAGCGATGCTTGCGTCATTTTGTTTTGTCTGTCTTGCTTACATGAGACTGACTTGTCAGCACATTGTTGGCCTATTCTGAGGTACATGGGACGTGGAAGCCTACCCACCTAACTGATTTGGCATGCCTACTTTTGTCTAGAGCCACCTTTTCGTACAGCACACACATTGCATGTGCATGTTGCTCACCGAAAAATACTCAAGGGGCGAGTAATATCACCTGCACGTCTTCTTTGACGCCTGGACGTTGCAAAGGGGAGGGGGCGGAAAGAAAAACGGGCAAAAAGGGAGGAAACGGGATAAAATCACCAATTCGCTTAAAACTACCGAAGAGCAGTTTGCTGCTGATGAATGCTTCCCCTCCTCTGCAAAAAGTGCTGCCGCTCCCCCTTTTCCTGGGGCAAATACTCGAGGTGCCTATGATTTGATGTCAAGTCTCATGTATTAGTTTTTGGGTTTATACCTCTTGTGATGCACTGTCGCACAGCCTCGGCCTCGTAACTCATACCCACGGCATGGGGATAATTCTGAGGAAGATCGCTGACTGGAAGGGGAAACTCCAGCGTCTCTGTCTTCTCCTTTACTTTAAAGGGGCTTTCCACATCTGATTGCGTGGTTACTTCCAATTTTGTTGGCACCCAAAAAGGAGTTGGTATCTGTTGTATTTTCAAACCGGGATTAAATAGACATTACGTGCACCCCCTGTAACTCTGAGTATTAATTTTTTAACTTATTAGATTTAACCCTTGTTCTTTTCTGTTCATTTTTTTTTCTTTTATTTTGTTTGACTTCGTTTTTCATTTATAATTTCTATTACAGGGCAGTGTTGATTTCATAAAGCCGCACTCTTTTTGTAGTTTTCGGATGAACCAGTTTATTTTGTAATTTCACGGAGTAACTGCCCCAATTATGGATGAAGTGTATTAGGAGTAGGTTGAAAACTGCGAATAAGTTAGTTTGTTCAGTGTTCAACACATTCTGTCCTTTGTTATATTTCGGAACACGTTCTAGAACAAACATGTACATGTACCTTGATGTGACCTCTGGTGCCTTGGATGTTGACCTCATTGGGAAGCGCAACAACCATACTCAGTGACAGTGAAGCAGCTGCCTTGTTTGGGAACAGCATACTTATCATACAGGTTTCATCAACCCCTATGTAAAAATTACGAGATAAGAATTGCACAACGATACCAAGAGAATGCATTTTTTTCATTAAAAAAACATATTTTTGTTTCCCCAGATGGATTCAACTTTTTAAAGTGCGACCATAAGTGAAGCTTTGATGATGTGTACTGGATCGGTATTTTAAGTTTCCTTAGGCAATGCAGGTTGCAAAGAATTTGTATCATATTGTATGTCTGTTATGTAATTTTGAGGACAGCCTGCGGCAAATGGAAGAAGTGGTGGTAAAGTAGGCCTACACCATTTGAACACCATTGAACATTTTGCAACCATGAATTATCGTCTCGGAAAAATTAACAAATGAAAACAGTGAAAGAAGACCGAAACGAAAAAAATTATTAGGAATGCCTTCTACCCGAGTCTGCAAGAAATCCACTTCCGCTGCACGACACCGGACGTTGACCAAACACCATGAGCGCCAGGCTTAAAGGGTAGATCCCGTTGTCCAGAAGAATACCTCCACCGAACTCTGTATACGAACGGATAGCCTATGCAATTTATGTTGAATATGTTTAAAGGTACTCAGAAGTCATGGGCGTTAAATTATTCATTTTGCATTTATTCAACAAGAAGAATACATGTATCATTATGATTACTTTATTTATTTATTTATTTTTATCTAGCAGCTGGTTCATCATTCGAGCCAAGTCAACTCTTAGGCACACTCTTTTCTCCAGTTTTTATCCTACATGTGCTTGAAAGTCCAAATAAGGAGTTAAACAGTGCCACCGGTGTAACTTCATTAAGTTTTAAGATATTTGTATTGCAACAGTAAGTCAAGAAAGGTACCCCGGGGCGTTGGTCTTGCAATGTGGATATTGCATGATGGGATTCAGCGTTGGTAATAATTAGTGTGGGTTAGAGACTGCCAAACGTGGGAGACGAGGAGACCTTTACCAATATGACCGACCCTTCTGTTAAGAAAAAACGAAGACAAAGCGGATATTGTTTAATTCCAATGGGAGGGGAGGCGAAGAATCTCCACCACTGTTGTCCACTGTAAAAGAGAACAAAACGTTTTTACTAATGCTTTGAGCTGTGAGATGATTCAATCCAGAGTTGGGTTGCAGTGTCCAGCTGACCCAAGCTGTTAATTGTGCAACACTTTGGCTGTGTGTGCACATCCATTTTTCTTCAAATGCAGAGTGCGTGCCATATTACGTCACACGCAGAGGCATGCCGCCTACACTTTCAATTGGATCGGAGGGAGTACACACACGGTCTTCATTACCTCGGAAGTCCAAATAGATCTGTACATAAAAATTAGCTTGGAGGCATGATACATTCAAGTCACCGGTTGATATGACTGTGCAGAGAGGGGACCCTCGAAGCCACCAACAAGTAAGTTTGGCGAGCAGCTAATTTTGGAACCACAGTTCACTGTGTCTTCAAATGAAGACCAAGTTTACAACCCGGGAATTACGTGCTTACCAGTCCACAATCCCTCGGTCTAGTGAAAAATATTTCCTTTGCAACATTTGCATTTGGAATATCTCTTGGAAGTATCGGTAGGTAAGTTTCTTAACAATTTATCTGTTTTGTGAAGTTATACATGAACTGACAATCGTTGTTGTTTTAAGAAACGGTGTATTTTAATAACAGGAGAGGAGTTACAACTAAGGTTCAACTGAACGTAAGTTGGCTAAATGCGATTTATAAGAGAAATGCATAACGACAAAAAGATACAATATACGTCACGATAATAGCCAGTTAACGTCGGATTTTCTAACCCGAAAAAGCTGCTGCGGACGGGTTTTTTGCCTGAAAATTCCTCAACTTTGCAATTTATTTATGACGCTCATAAATATGTTGGGAGGCACAGCTCTTCAGTAAAGGCATTGGTATTTTTATTCTATTTCATTTTTTTTCACTTGTCCTAGTAAAAGTTGTGGCAAGTGTCCTCTGCACATCAACCGATTCACATACGAAAGGTCCATAGCGTAAACAGGCGTCACCCGTGGCCACTTGTGTTTTTTGGCCAATTGGTTCGATACAAAGGAGTTGCTAATTTTAACCTTATTTCTTCTGTGTGGTTTTGCTCCCTAGCAAATCGACTTAGCCAAACAAAGGGGCTCCGTTATCCCTTAGCTCCTTTAGTTATGGTGTGGTCTCCCCAATCAATTCTAATCTCCCCAGAAAGGCATTTCCGTTTAATGGTCAGTTCAGGTTGGGCTACTTAATAGCAGCGTCCGCTCATTTGATTGTCTTCCACGTTTTGACCAAACCAACCACGACGGTTAATACGTTACCGCGGAAATGAAAAAAAAAGTTTTTTTTTCAGCTAGAACAGTAAGCCGTTAACCCTAACAGTTCTCAATTCAACGATTTCGATATGATTTTAATACACCCAAAGGGGTTATGCTGTAGTATATCGGTATGCTGAGGTAAAAGACACTAGTCTCTCTGTATCACTTGTTTAATCAATTGATCTTGTTACTCACCTTTTTTCTTGAGTCTATCTTTAAAGTCGGTTAAGAAACCCATAGCACATTGCATAAATCTGACCTCTCCGATTGCCCGTTCTGTAATCAGTTCTCGCAGCTTGGCAGCAGCCGGGAAGAACCGTGACCACCAGCCCTGCAATCCAGGGAAAAGCTCACATTTGACGCTTATCGAAATAATAATTAAATCAGCCTTCGTTCAGATCTCCGTGTAGAGGAAGGCAGTGTAGTTTGAGCATTTATTGGGAGACGAGGCCCTGTTTTTGCATCCATGGTTGACAGAGCTTTGACCGTGCACTTTCGGATGGGTAATACATGTAGAAGGCCTACGACCGTAGATGTACTGTCTTCGCAACTCATTACGTGTTATTAATTTGGAAAAAGAGACTAGTGCCCCTTTTCCCTCCAAATTCGGTCAGATCTGTGCACAGTGTTTTAAGGCTGGCTCCACAAGTGGAGTTTTTGGCCTGATAACAATTGCATACAATTTTCTGCATGATCCCATCCTTCGTCAGTCAGTGAGGGTTGTCATTGGCACTGTACTTGGTGCTTAACGTTACCACTTAACAATTGCCAAATATTCATCATGCAAAGTACCTTTTTAACAGGATACCATTCCTCTCCCAAAATGGCACGACACAGCATTTGACATACAGAAAAGACTCAAGGTTACTCTTGTTTTGCCCACTAATGTAATAAACTCATCTAGAGAATGACTACTTGGCTGCTTGCCTGTTGTACGTCTAAGGGTTTTGTCCTGTCTACGTAACCCTCACCTCCATGAAGAAAACACCCTTCTCCTTCGCCATATCGACGATTTGCCGGCATTCATTCTCGTTTAGAGCCAGCGGCTTCTCACAGAGAATGTGCTTCCCGTGGTTCAGAAACAGCTTGCATAGCGGCAGGTGCATCTGGTTCACAGCCGCAATGTACACGATGTCTTTTAGATAATTGAGAGAGACAACAACAGTCTGGATCAGAGCTGAAAACTGTAAAATAGACATTTAATGTCGGGTATTAAAATCAAAACCGACCTGAGACTGACCTGCAACTCTTACCCCCGCAACGGAGCCGCTTGTGACAAGCGAATTTAAAATAATAAAAATTTAATAAATAAATCGTGTGGGTGTCGTGGAACGTTACTGGCATTTTGGTGCACGTCAACTACGACTTATTCCTGCTTGTCAGAAACGCTTTCGAAACGTTGATTTTTTGTCCCATGGTGACCGTTGGACTAAAGTGTGAACTGAAGTATTGCCAGTCATCCTAATATCGTCGCAGCTGCTCATGGTCGCAAAAAAATCACCGGCTAACTTCTAATCCACATGGCAGTCAGTCGCTAATTATTGTTCTTTGTCCTCGATAGGTCAACCTCAGGGTAGCTTTACGGGAAGTGCTCTGTGATTGAACTCATGTAGTAAAAAGCGTCTGCACCATCAAGTAGGATGCTGTATGATCAAACCACGCCCAAGTAAGCTTGATTAGAATATGCTTTTCCAATGTGTCTGTGATTACACTGCCAGTGTAATCACAGAGAATTGAAAATTGAACATTTTCATTTTGGCAAATTAATTGGTTACTTAATTGTAGACCAAAACTACATACGTATGTTCAAAATTTATTTTTCAATAACATCTACTGTTGCGTACGTTATCGGGCATATGCTACCGGTCCCTGCGTCCCACCACCCATTTTCCTGTAAACCGTAACTAAAGGCCCCCAATATACATGTCCTTAATCTCACTCACCGACATCGGGATCCATTGCTAAGTCCTCGAACCTCTCGTAGACGACAGCAATACCATGCGTCTTGGCCAGATCTTTCGCTTGTTGCACGGCCCTGGCCTCGGCAATGGCTTGTACGATATGCTCCTCTCGCGGTAGAGTGCTGAGACCAACAAGGAAGTCATTCGCAATCATTCCCGCGGTACAGATGCCCCAACGCAGCTTCATGGCTCCCATAGACTCCGATGTAGACTTCCTTAAGATCACAGAGGGACGAACGAGTCCTAATGTTCACATGTTTTTGTAGTGTTGGAAGCATTCACTTTTACTAGAAAAGGCAAGTGTTCGGTTCTTTAGTATGGTTATTGTCATTGTTTTGAGGTTTGGAACATTGTGTAGTCCTGCAGTTAAAACCCAAGGCATGATCTCATGAGTGGTTCGAGAGCAAATAGGATAGAGAGAAAAATAACAAAGAAATGCGAAGTGGAACAAACTGTTGTTCGTGGTAAAATTTCCAAGGCCCCTTAATCCGACAATCAGGTTTCTTTTCTGTCCGTGGAAATTCATGAAAACCAGTTAATTTTATTATTCCATGTTTACCTTGCCCATTGGCTCAGTTATCTAGTCTCTGCACACATCACTCTATTTATATATGCTTTCAACGGTTTATTATTAACACTAGTTAGTACATGTAATTTATATTTAATTTTCATGTACATGTCATCATCTGCTGGTTTATTTATTCGTCCCTAGTCTCGTGTTTCTCATGTTATATTTGTCAGTCAATACTATGTTTTGAGAGATCCCTTACTCAACAACCTTTGTTTTTTACGAAATCCCGCCACTTCCTATTGTTTCTGTGCACTATGTGTTATATGCATTTGATTATTTGTGTTGTGGAGTGGAAATAAAATGAAGTGAATTAACTTTGGCAGGAAAAATTTGCATTGGAACATTCATGCCCGGAGGGCCATGATAAGTAGGTCATGAAATGTTGCACAGACTACCATCGGCGAAATTCGAAAAGCTTTGGTTCCTATGCTCTGAAAGCTATGATATGTTCTTCTCAATATCAAGGTAGCCTCATACACCTGCGAGGTTCGGTGCAAATCCCACATAATTATGGGCTCCTATTGGATTTGACATGGTGGTTGAACCACCGTGGTTCATCAGATCTTCAGTAGGATAGGCTTCTCAATTGTTACATTGGCCGGCAAAACCAAGTTTCTTCCACTAGTGAAAACAGTAGACACCATACGATAAATTGCCTTGACCGAATCTCCCTCTCTTGCTCCCTGCAAAGTACATGACATTAATAAGCATGCAGGGCAGTGGATCCACCTCTGATATAATACTGATCAAAAATAATACCAAAGATTGTGTATTCAAGCGACTGTTTCACAATGCTCGAGCGGACCACAGCATTAAAGTGGCATGCTGAGTAGACCAAACTATTTCCCTGCTTTATGGGCTAATGTATTTTGATTTACCTCTTCGTCTACAGGTCCAGTACAACGTGCTTAATTTGGTTCCAACGAACGCCACATACATGTTGGTTAACGTACCTGAGTACCGTAATAAGGCTCGATGAGCTATGTAGCTTTGCCTGAACTTTGCTCTCAGAGTGCTCTGTCATCGCGTGTTTGTAGACAAGTGACGAAATCACCTGTATGTGTACACAAGTCACATAGTACAGTGTCTGGGTCGTGATATTCTGCGTGCCACGGGTTTTGTAAAACTGCATTCATTCGGAGCTTCCGCATGTCCAAATGTTGTCCATTGACTTCAATCTGTTCACTTGTTCGAAAACACAGAGTACGGTTCCTGATTCTCTCTATGTGTAATTCACTGAGGGTAATACAGTGGGGAGGTATGCACTGTCGAATTGACAACGGACGGAAGCTTCGACTCAAGCACATAACGGTTCAGTATGGTGTTCCATATGTGCCGTCCGGTCGGATTTTTCAGCCGGCGTGTTCAGGCTTTAGAGCCTAAAAGTGGACCCCTGGTAACGTGCTTTCATAACCCTTGGATAGGAAAAAACGTGCAGCAATTCGAGAAAAAGCAATTTTTTTCCGTTCGTTTACTTCTTAAAAATTTCACCTCGGTGAAAGGCCTTTGCAAAATATTTACAAGCATATTCATTTATAGAAACTTATATACTACCTGAACTAAAAGAGAAATATCCTGCCAAAAATTGGCCTCTCACTTAACTCTGAAATCTAAAATACATGAAGACCAGTACAATTCGGTGGTCTCTTGCGCTGTTACAAAATCATATTGCATGGTAGTCTTTTGGGTAAAGCTAAAAAATAAATAAAAATGTTAAATGCAATTTATAAGCAAATAAACATAAAGGTATAATCTACGTTTACGACATATTCTAAAGTTTAATCGAACCGTTGCTCACTAGAACGGCATCAGGTCAACTAGACTGAATCTAGAACCCATCGACTTCAGGTAGGGAAATCTTTGCACCGTTGTACAATCTTGCTTTCACGTAAGCTCATGGAGTAAAAACAAATGTGCATAAGGAGACGTAGGAATGATATTGCCCGGTGACTTTTCCAAAATATTACTTTAGGAACACCTATAGGTAAAATTCCGACATCAGTGTTTCTTAGGTTTCAGTTAGGAATTATTCTTCCCAAAGTTATCAAACGTGATCGGACGACCTCATGTAAAATCCCTAGATGACCGCGCAAGGGTTCCAGAAGCTCGCTGCGGGACCTTTTACTTTCAAGCTCTATTGTAAGTATGCGGTTAAGACAGAGATCAAAACATGGAGGTTGCAGACCAGGAATCGAAACCGCCAAAATAAATTCCATGGCTGAAAAGACACGGGAAAATGCAGCTTTCCAAAGGTTTTGGGTTACATTTTTCTAAAATTTCATTTTAGAAGAAAACAAAAGTTTCCTAAACCCATCCACTTGGGAAAAAAAGATTAAATAATTCAGTTGTCAGATTTACAAAGCTCTAATTAATTTTGGCAGTCACTTATAGACGTCCTGATGTGCGGAAAAATTCCATATTTGCATTTTGCAAAAAGGAAAGGTCACCGTGATGTAACTGTCCATTTTGAAATTTATTTTTCAATATTTATGTCTGTGGAAGTATTAAAGCAGTTTTTCAATACAAAAACAATGGAAGATTGATCATGACGTCATTTTTTCTGACACGTTTTCCTTAAGTTTGAAATAGCTGGACCTAGTCATTTTCAGTAGAAGCATCCGCGCCAAAAACGAATCTCCAGGGCGTTGCAAACTGTATATGCAGTAGATGATATGTGGTACAATGAAGTGAAAAAGAAACCACTCTACTCTGTAAACAAGCAATCTCTGCTGGCTTGCTACTTGGATGAAAACTTCAAAGATCGGAGCCATCAAGAAATAACTCGATGAAGTCATGACGAGATCCTCACTTTACAGACTATTCGGTCGAAGATTTAATTCGATCACTGGGTCCAACTTGTTCCCCAATAGTCGGACTTTGACATTATATATTTATCTTATATCAGGTGATACCAATGGTGGATCAGGGCAACTGTGACCATCTTCCGAGCAAATTCTTTTTTACTTTTAACAGAAGATTTGGGGGACTATTTGGGGAACTACAAATACCCAAAAGTATCCTTACCTCCTCAGCATGCCATTAAAAGGTCACATAAAAAACAGAAAATTTGTTTACCTTCGAAAAAGTGCTTCATGTATTTGTTGAAATACACTGGGAGGTTTTGGAAAAGTTTAATTAGTATACAGATGAAACAAGTAACCAAAGAGACACATCCTGCCCTCCCAAAAAGAGAGCCAAAAATCTCACACATGGCAAGGGACATCACTGTGAAAATTTGAAACTATCTTAACACGTTGGTTTGAAAAGTTAAGATACTAACCAGACGTTACTAAAAGGCATGTCTAGCTTTCCATTCCCTAAACCTAACATCGCTTAAATCAGATAGCTTTAATTCGGGTGCCCAGAAAAAACATGAAGAGCACGAGGTCAGTCCTTTACTTTTTTGAAAGTCATCAAATGTCGTGCAGAAGTGGTCAACGTTTATAACGAAGAGGGGTTAAGTCGAAAAAACATGTTGTAGACATCCACAGACATTAACGACAGTGAGCGGAAATCGAAGAAACGGCTTCGAAAGTTTCGGATACAGGAGGTGTTATTAGTCACGTGACAGTAGCGTTTGCAAACCTAAAGATGGTTCCCTAAAGATGAGGACAGACAAGATGGGACTCTACTTAATGTGTATGGTATATGTTTAAAATAAAAACTCAAAATTTTACATACTCCAACCCTAATATTTAGGGCCACTTTCTGTATTTTTGGCCACATCTCATAGTTGCAGTGGACCACTTTCTGAAGTGTTTTTGAACGACAATGAAGGGGGTACATGTAAATTTTCACAAAATGATTTTTCAGAAATATTCATTTTTGAACCATAATAAATGTATCTGTATATTTTAAATTGAAGTACATATTATAAATATTAAGTTGAGATACAATTTGTCTGACTTCATAAAGAAAAAGTTAGCAAAACTATTTCGAGCAGCGAAAAATTGAGTAAAAGCGTTTTTCTGACTAGTGTATGTAAAATGTTTGCTCTAACTGTAAGTAATTAAGATAGTCATGGCTGGGGAGTACAAACAACCTACATTGGTTGAATGGCATGCCACCTGGACACCTCAGTCAGTCTCGGTCTTACAACCTCGTCCCAGTGTAAGCCCCCCGTGCCCTCGACTTTTGGGCCGATTACTACGCGTCCTGTTGGCACACGGCCGCTTGAATGAAATCTGACTCTCATCACTACAAACTCTATGGAATAGTCCGTCAGATCCTGGTCCCGGTTAAGATGCAGGAGGAAAGGTTGGTTCCATGCAGGCTCTGAACCAGTTAGAGAACGGGTTGTCTCAGATTGGATGACAGCCTCCTTGTTACGGAGCAAATTAACACAAACATAGTGCGCTGAGGGAAACAAAAGAGTATAAAGAACTATAGAAATTCTTCTCCAAAGAACTCCTGTAACTACTCTGACAACACCGGAGAGCCATGAAGTAAATCTCATTTATTGTTATCTTTTAATAAATCTGGATGGCTTTGTAGTATAGGTTTATATAGACTCCTTGGCCCTGCGGTCATAAGAGTCGTGGTATATGGTTTTCACGTGACATAACATGATGGGCAAAGGCATTTACAGAAGCGTACCATATCTGTGTAAAATTGAACGCTGTCCGTTAAAAATCACGTGACTGAAAATCCTCAGTAGAGTACCAAAGTGAGTTTACGTCACGCGCAGAAGTGTGTGTAAAAGGCATTAGGGTTGGAACCAGCTTGTGAACCAACACGCGTGAATACTCCGTTTGTGCACACTGCACTTTCTGGTTCACAGTGACGTCACACTTCAGTAAGTCTTTACAGCCTAACGGTACTATATCCTTTGGAATGGAACAGCTAACCCTTTTTCACAAAAAGCAAAACCATCGTACCCAATGATTATGCTAAAATATTTCAGTAATATCATGTGTTAATTATGTTCATTTGGCATTATGACTAAATTTTAACATTTATTCAGGTGTATTGTCCACAAATGCCTTAGGGAATAATTTACAACTTTCTCGTACCAATGGAAGGTGGTGTGCCAGGTAAATGGCTTCCCTTGCTCAAGTGGTCGGCTTTTCTCACCATCACTTTGAATCGACTGGCTGTGGGCTGGTACTGAATTGAGACAAATAAGTCTCTGAGACCTTCAGGGGAATGTGTCATGGGTGTGGGATGTCTGTTGTCCCTAGGTTGCGGCTCACTGATCTGCAATGTAGGCACTGTTAAGGACTGAAAAGGAAAATACGAACACGTTTTGTATCTTTGCACAACTGTGTATCCCGGTCTAATTAAGGGACGGGACAACGAAACACAACTGGGAAGGAAGGGTGCTACCTTGCGAGCGTTGACGTTTGCATTTCGGTAATTGAAATTAAAAGTCTCTGTTCAAGAAATACACGGTAGGACTTTGTGTCTTTTAATTTCTACCTTGGACTGAGACAGTGCCTGTTGGCTAAGCTACATCAAACACAACATGGTCCATTGTAAGCGTGCAATACTGCATGTACTGTGCGCAATATACTAAATGTACGTGTCAGCGTTCCGGCAACGACTTCATCGAATCAGACTGGGAGCGTGAATGGCTAAAAGGGGATTTTTTTCGTGGGCGGTGAAACGCAGGATCTTTTTATTCATTTTGGGTCGCAATTACCAGGGGCAAACTTTAAATTTGTGATTTTTTTAAAATGGTTACGTATTTATTGGTTTTTTTTAATACTTCACGTGAACTAAATGTTTTCAATTTCTGTTACCCTTTAACATTTTATACTTATTGTGGTTAATGTTATACATTCGAACTGATGGAGTAGCTTTATCATTTTCGTTGCAGAGCTAGTACCTCTCCTTATTAAACTAATCTAGGCTTAATGCCTAAAACTGCACGTAGAGTACGGTAGCGAACGGTAAGTACCGTGGTGATTTTACGACATGTAGTAGCCGCCTTTAAACTCCCGTTTAGAAAGTTCTTATACCGTTTAAGTTACTGGAGGTACCTCACCATGTTTTAAACGCTGGTGCATCAGCTTAAGCAAGGTATGACTCCATGTAAAGCCTCAAGCACATCCTAACAGTGGACTGACTTTTTTGTTCAAAGCCTTACCCACACCCGAGTCCCACTCGCATTAAATCAAAGATATTAACCAATTTATAAGCCTTCTCGTGTTGCTTCTGGGCGTTCACCAGGGAGGGTGTTAAACAAGGAGACTAGTCTGACATCAAAGATAAACCAGCATTTTTAGCTGTCACGTTCTAAATTTCTAAACACGACAGTGGTCAAATTCGGAGATAGAGAACATATATAGAAAGAATATGAGTATATTATGTCCTCGAGTTACTCAACGATAAATGTATCCATGATTCCAACAAACTTCGACAGTCTACCAATGCGTCATCTAATGATGACTGAACAAATACAGATCTTTAATCTCCTGAGCAACGCATACGCTCAGTGAATGGTTTGCATGGCTGCCATTTTGTAGGACAGTGCTTTTGTTCCACAGGGTATGCACAAAAGAGGTTTCTTTGTGGGAAAAAAGGGGAGCTGCCCTGCAAGATGGCTACCACGCAAAGCCTCTGTGGTTACAGAATAAAACGTAGTTTTCTTTATACGCTACGTACTACGTACCCTACGCATCCATTTGCTGCGCTTGAGCTTCAGTGACTCGGTCACTTCATAAACTTCATCTGCTTCCCGTATTAGCATCACACAGTGTCTGGTTGCCTCTGCGAGGCTTTCATGATGACCTCCCCTAGGTCCTTTTACGTACAACTTGAACCTAACAAAGACAATTGCAAACTGTTTGAATAGACAATGTAGGTACATGGAAATCCAGAGCAATTATTCAAATTAATCTCATCAAGTGTTTTAAAATGGCTGACGCAGACAGACTTTCCTTCAAATATGGTTTAAAGCTTTGCATGCACTGTAAACATTAGGTGTGTGGGCTCTGGTCATAATGACAAGAACTGCTCTGGCCGGCAGAATACACAAGTTCGGCCAGTCATATTGACAAAATTTTGAAAAGATATTTGTGGACTAATACTCATAGTGCCAGAAGACAGGATTGTAATGGTGAAAATTGCAATGAGACAGAGGTTTGCCGTAGCACTAGGAAAAATCTCTTTCGTGAATGTGGTTTCAGAGAAAACCGGTTTACTCAGCGTTTCCGAAACCTTGAACCCACCGGTTCTCTTTAGAACCTCACTCATCCAAAAAGAGAGATTTTACAACGTGCCACTGTACCAGAGCTTGCTTTCGCGACATGTAAAAAACAACCATAGCCAAATAAGTTTTGACAAAGGACGAATGGAGAGTTTAAAACAAGGCGAGTGGACATACCGGTAGCTTAAATGGCCATTTGAAAACTTGCTCTTACTTCAACTCAGCCTGGCCGGAAAAGTCTAACTGTTTAACGAAGCACTCACCTTAGGCTATTTACCCAAACCTCCTGCAGTGAAATTTTATTGAATTGCAGTTGGTCATTGAATATAGGCTCCAGGGAATTACGCACGGTGCACGTCTGAAGGTAGCCTCCACCTGCCTTCGGTAGCAGATACACCCTCACAAACGATGTGCAGGAAGGGCTGTACTTAATCGGTATCCCTTTGATCCCCTTGACGGAAAGAACGAGAGTGGACTCAGCCGAGGAGTAGTAAATACTGTAATCAAGTGCGATCCGACCTGACAATTTGTTACTTTTACCCGATTTGCGACGCTTTGGGTCTACTCCTGGTCGGGTGTCTTCTACTGCTTCCTCTGCCTCAGAGCGAGTTGCTAGTGACGCTGAGGCCGAAATCGAATCGGAAAACGCGCTGGAGGCGTCTGATTCAGTGTCCAGTGAGAGCCAGCTTCCAACGCGAATCAAAGGAGGGCTTGTTGGTGAGGGAGGGTGCAGTGAGGTATCGAGTGATTTCGAACGAATGCGATAGGGATCATCAGTCAGGGTTGTCGGGTTCGAGGAAGGTGCATCGTCTCTTGTGCACGTTTTGGACCATCGCTTCCGCTTGTGCAGCTTGCGCTTCACGTCTGCCTTTCGGGAAGGCATTGATGGTCGCCCAGACGGTTCCTCTGCTGTTGGACATCCTGGGGATTGTAAATGTACCCCACTACACGCGACTTGAGCCTGAAGATCGCTACAGTTCCCTCGACCGTCTATTTCTTGCTGTGCCGGTAGCACGATGACGCTCTCAGCCATTGCCGGTACTCCCGTTGTATTGTTGTTGCCTATGAGTTCATCGACGAGGAGGCGATTTCTCTCCATGTCATCCCGAAGCTTCAGTTTCCTCCTCCGTTTTAGGATCCGAAGACATAAGAAAACTGCTACCAGGATAAGAATAATGACAAACGCTGCACACAGAACACCAAGAATGATCACCACATCTGAAAGCAAAAAAAAAAACTGAATGTTTGCTGGGTGCACAAAATCATTAGGTATCTAGGATATCCATCCAACTGCGGTAGCAAGAGGTATTCTGTTGTTAGATACCAGTGCCCAACAAAAAAGATGATTGATTTTAAGCTGAGCAAAGTTTTGTTTTCTGCCTAAGGACAAGATAAACCAAAGGTCAGGGTCTTAATTTTTGGAAGAATGTTTGTGTTAACATTTCGTTTAAACTAACGAGTTTAACTCTAAAATCGTATACTGTGTTATGCTGGATATAATTTTTGAACACCTAATGGGAATCTTTGTGAACTTAAGTTGCATCAAGAGTTTAAAAAATTAATTGACATGCTAGAATGCAGGCTCTGCCATGTCACACACTGACATTATTTTTCTCCAATGACAATACGTTTATCTGACATTCAAGTTCAATGTATATGGATTGAAACAGAAGCTGAGGGTTCAGCCGGATAATCGACATTCTGAGGAATGTGAGTTTTACATATCAAAACACGAAGTGCGTAGTTATGCATTCTCAAAAACATGTATGTATGTGCAAGTATCCAACGCAGTATGTCCGTCGCTTGTCCACTTGGTCTAAAAGAGGAAGTATAAAGACACTGATGATTTTTTAATCTTAATAGCCTTCGTAGCTTGTATTTTGCTCATATTACAATAGCTTTTTAAATTAATTCAATCAGTTTACCACGGATGATTTTTGTTGTTGTTAATCACTGATCTTTTTCTCAATTGAAATGTTGTGGCAGAGCAAGAACAACACACATAAAAAAGAGGAGGTTCAGTACAGAAAAGTAAGTCTGCGTATATTTTTAGGCTCTAGAATTCTTAACTTGTTATAGTCTTCGCTCTCTAGTTCATTTTTATTTGCATTTAAAGTGAGCTGGGGCTTCCCTTAAAGGTAAAGAAACCAATCGATTTTTTTATCCACTTCACGGCCACTCTAGCAAGTCCTCGATTAACAGCGTGGCCAATCCTTTAATACAAGGCTCAGAAGCTCAACAAGGCAGGTGTTCTTGATTTCCATATACTATGGCACACACTCAAGTGAACGTAAATTCTAATCCAAGGGTAGTATCGACGTGGGCCCGATAAGCGTAGAGCAAAAAACATGAGCTGTTGTCACAGCTATTCCTGAGTATGTGGCAGCGCAGACATCTGGGAGTTTCACAAAATTGCGGGTAGCAACCACACTGCGCCAATGAAAACAAGTGCAACGAGCGGGCGCGTACGTACTGATCAAAGAAAAGATTGTGTAACCCGACCCTCTAACTGGCTGGTGCGTGCGTACGTCGCCATGGGGACTGTTTTCACCTGCGCGGTACCCCGCCATTTTGCGGGAATCCCAGATGTCCCCACTGCTCCATAAGCGACGACTACCTCGCCGACGTTTCTACAACCGTCGTTTGCTTGAACTCGTTAAATAATTTCACGTTTAATCGAATTTGTTAAAAAGTGATCGATGTCCCGGTCGCCTGACTGCAAACAGCAGTTTCGTTCAATGGTTTTTCCCCACTTATATCACTGGATGCAAGTTCATCTTGTTGGTTCGCAGAAAGCAAATATAAAAAATGTACCGATACGCATTCAAGACGAACCAACGCATAGGCCCTTCAACTGGAGTGCACACAAAGCCCAGCAGCTGAAAGCAACAACATTTCACGTGGATACAACACGATCAAGAATTCGTTGGTGAACGGCTGTGACACCAGTACTTGTAGTAATTTTGTAGTCAAGTCGTTGGTTTGCAGAAGCTGCAGCAGCAACAGTGCTCATCGTCTCCAAAAGTGAGTCACTGTAAAGCTAGATGCCAGGTTATTTCTAAACATCCTGGTAATCCTGGTATCGTACAAATGTAAGCGAACTTGTAACCACCGTTTTGCCAAATTTGTGAGAAAAGCAAGCATTCAAATAGGTCCTGAACACCTACATAGTTACCCGATTAATTATAAATGTTCTTTGGGATGGAAAATGAAACTGTGCCAGCACTGAGCAAGCCACACAATTCCTTCTCAACAAAAGAGCGAGTACTTTTTCTTAGCATAGATGCAGCCCTATTTCTAGCTATCACCTTCGGTAATACGCTGGTCATCCTCTCCGTGGCCACCTACCACCGACTGCAGACTCCCACCAACGTGTTCCTGGCCAGTCTCGCTGTAGCTGATCTATTCGTTGCATTTGTATGTCTACCGGTTGACGCGCTCTTTGCTCTGGGACTGATCTCCAACGTGTCCGCATGGCTATGTATCGCAGGCAGTATGATGACAACTATTGCCATAACTGTTTCGCTTACTCACATCACCGTGGTGGCCTATGATCGCTTCCTGGCTATCACCAAACCTCTGCAGTACGGCCAGCAGATGACATCTCGAAAAGTCGCCCTGTTCATCGTGGCGTCGTGGACCGCCTCTTTACTGTTCAGTCTGTTGCCGTTTTTCGGTTGGAACCGCATCAACACCTACAACTTAGGTTATTGCGATTTGCTTTTCATTCATATATTCAGTTACCGGCTCATTGGGGTCGTGAGCATTGCTGTTATCCCTTCAACCCTCATGGGATATATGTATACGCGGATATTTCTGGTGGCTAGACGGCATAAACGAAGCATTGCTGCCGAAAACAGGATTTTTAATCAACAACGGGAGCGATCCCTTGCCCGTGATCTGAAAGCAGCAAAGACTCTGTCTATTGTATTTGGAACATTCCTATTAGCGGTGACCCCTGCTGCAATTATTAGTTTAGCTGATGTTATATTTCCAGTGAGTGATCTCCTCATGTATGAGATCATTTTCTACCACGTTCTTTTCATTAATTCGGCCATGAACCCCATAACGTATGCTTTCCGCAGCCGCGAGTTTCGCTGTGCTTTTATCAAACTACTCAGTAAAGTCCTCCCTTGCAAGCAATGACAAAATATGGCAACACAAGCGAACGATATCCTTATCTAGGAAACAGACTGGCGGGGTTAACCAGATGATCAACCAAAAGTGAATCTGGTTGGTAAGTGTGACGTCAGGAGTGTCACTTCTGTAGTCTGTTCCAACACAGTACTTACTCTTGCAAATTAGTTTGGAAAGGATGTTCATTCATCGCAAAATGAAGCGTATACAGTATTTGGTGGTGGTGATATGACTTCGCTTTTTACTCCGATTTGAAGTTCAGGTTTATAAAGAAATACAGAATTATACAAGGAAGCTCGTGAGGTTATATTAACGAAAGAATGTACATGTATAATCATACAACAAATAATAATTTAGTATTGGATGGACAACCAAGTTATTTAGTTTTGGATGGACAACCATTTCTGAAAGAAAACTTAATTGGCATAACACTTTTTTCACTTTTTTTTCTCTTCCAAAGACAATGTTTTTATGATGTAATACCAAAATAGATGTATTTGTTGCTTTCATATGTTTGCTTCTCCGCTGAATATTTTACGCAGGGGAATCAACCGTTCATCATATAGGCAACATATAACTTACCCGTTCATCATATAGGCAACATATAACTTACCCGTTCATCATCTAGGCAACATATAACTCCTATTCTTCGCAGCCTTCACTGGCTACCTGTCAATGAGCGAATCGTTTTCAAGATTCTACTCCTCACTCACAAATGCATCCATGGTTCAGTACCAGCATACCTCCGTGAACTCACTCAAGTATACGAGCCACAACGCACCCTCCGTTCTAGTTCAACATTGCTGCTCAGTACACCTGTCACTCGCACTAAGACTTATGGATATCGTTCATTCAAGTATGCATCACCATCGCTGTGGAACTCTCTCCCACACCATATCAGAACTGTCAAAAATGAAAACGAATTTAAGTCACTACTTAAAACTCACCTGTTTCATTAATTGCTTTATTTCATAATATTACTGTGAAGCGCATCGAGATGTGCTATGTGATGCGCTACATAAGAAATGTGTTGTTATTATTATTATCAATGTAAAAGTATACCAAAAAATAATTGTATTCGAAGATGCTTAGCTCAAACAGTTGTTTTGTTGTTTTACCGGTTGTTGTTGTGTAAGGTGTTATTTGCAACTTCACCATCTCCGACTTTTTTGACTTGAATTCTCGGTTCGTAGCTTTACTGTATCCCATGTGTACCAGATGGGTTCTTAGCTTTTGTTCTGTTTATCACTTCTTTGAACTGAACTGAACTTAATGTTATAGGCGCGTACTGATCACCATCGCTGGACAGTTGATTGTACATCTCTATAAGAGTGGTTACGGAAACATAGTGGTGGAAAAGAGGTTTAACAATAAGCTCATTATTGATTCCACAGTTTTTGTCCATTCGACCTGCCTTGAAATTTGTTACATGAGTTATAAAGGAAATTTGTCACTTATTACGGTATTTTTTTTCATTTGAAAAATACTGACTTTGGTATTTTCCGTAGCAGGTACTGATAGGCATGTTTCCAGGAAGATATTCTCAGTAATTATTTACGGATTGTTATTTGTTGTTATGTGTCCCTTTTATTTTGTTTCGAAGGCGAGTATTGAAATAAAAAAGAAAGTGTTGAAAATAGATAGACAAAGCTACATGTGAAAGTAGACATTAACAAGTAAACATCGCCAAAATTGTAAATCTTAAAAAGGTAAAAGTGATGAATGATTAATAATAATAAAATGAAAAGTGTTCCGTCATGGTGCCCAAAGAAGAATTTTAGTCTCATGATTTTTAATGGTCAGCGTTCAATTTACAAAGTATATACCCGGAAGCGCGGGCGTATTTGAAGTCTCTTGACACTGTTGTGTACATGAAAATGTCAATAGAAATGCTAATATTCGAAAATGCACGCGCCTCCATGGACCTGGTACGCTCGCTGAAATGACTTTGCCAGTCATGTTATGTCACATGAAAAATCTTTCAAGTGTCTTGGCACCATTGCTCATAAGAATAAAGTACTGCGCTGAGATGTTTAAAAGCTAATCATATGGTAGCTTTTGTGCATCATTCTGCATACAAT